AAATCTTCAGACTAGAAAACTTAACAATGTAAGATCGAAATTATGTTGCTGATGTCTCAATATTATAATCAATGTTAACTTTTTAAAAATTTTCAAACCGTAATCATTATTTATATAGATTAAAACTCATTATCATAAAAAATCCTTTTCTAGATTTTTATTCTATTTCAATCAAATTTTACAATGAAATTATCTATAAATTTGATTTCGAAAATCTAATGGCATTTATCTTCTTATTAGTTTAACATATAAATGTTATAGAAAATCAGTTCAAACTAGACAAAATGAAAAGAACAATGATGATTCGAAGATTCGAACCAAAAATTATGAGAATCAGTTCAAAGGTAAAAAAAGCTTTTCACTGGACAAAATATACTAAGAGAATAGAATTGCATGAGTCGAGTTTTGTCATGAAATGATTTTGTGACTTCACTACATACGATGAATCATGTTTATTCTATTTTATCTTCATTCTAATTATCGAACAAAATACCAACGGATTGAATTAAATACGTATATAGACAAAATATTATTTAGAAAAGGCAAAAATAAAAGATGAATCAAATATTGATAAAGATACAGACAAATTCGGACATAATTACAATCAATACCTGTTTTCTATTTTAAATCAATATATATTATATAGAATCGAAAATAAAATAAACAATCAATTATTTTTTTGTTGATAACTATACTGTATTCATTTGTCTTCATTTTCGCTATATAGATATGCTCTCGTCAACACAACAAAACAAAGAGAATAATGATCTTTTCCTCTTATATAAAACCGACGCTCGCTTCATATTTCCCTGCATTAATAGAATATTAAACTATTTTCATCGAATTTATTCGATTGGTGTAAGAAAGAAAGACAATTGCTTCTTTTTTCTCTAAAGTATATTGACGGATAACTACAACAGCACCTGAATACTATACGATAACATTTACTCGGAGATGATCTCTATGTATTTTCTTCTATTTTGTTAACGTATTATTTTAATTGATAGTCTTGAAATAAACAAATCACTGATCGCTTGTATGATTTTTACTTCAGTGTGTTTCTTTTTAATTCTAATCGAAATTGATCATTATTTCACCAAAGTACTAAAGTTTGTTTTACTTTCTTTACAAAATAAAAGATATCTATTTGATATTCTTCGAATGTCCCATTGATTGTAGACCATCCATTGACTTTAATTCTTAGACATGTATTTGAACTGAAAGTAAGAAATTCCGATCTCTTATAAATAACATTTTTACTAACAGATTTTTCTTACAGATCGGTTTCCATTATAGATACGTCCATCACTCTTTAAAGTAGTTTAATTCATGTATTTCATATTTTTTGTCAAAGTTTCGCCTTTTTGGTATTATATTTAGACAATGATTTTATCTCGATATGTTTAAGATTAAGGAGAATATCATTGGTTTGTTCATCAACAAAATAAACTTTAACTAAAGAATGAAAATTTTATTTTATTATAAATAATCAATAGATGAAGAATAAAATGCTTTTATTTGTTATACAAGAATAGAAATGAACATTGAAACATTAAATTTTGAACATGTGAAAGTAATAATGAATGAATGAATTTAATGAATTTCCGTTCTGCTCTTAAAAATAGAAGGAAAGAAGGCATAATTTTTGTTTTCATTTTAAATTCTGATTAACAATGTATGGATTCATTCGGAAGAATTCGTCTAGTTAGCATAAAATTCACAAGGATTTTATTCAATGATATAACATCGAAAATATTTTCATTGTTTATTCTAGAAATTTTTTTCATAAATTCCCAATCATTCATAAAGTAAATGTCTCCAGTAAAGAAATACTTAATGACTTATGTTGATCGACTCAGTGTACACAGTTTTTCGGTATTTGAAATATGTTCTCTCAAATATAGTAAGGCTAAGTTGAATGATCTTCCTTTAGTTTTTTTTGTTTGTAGCGATACAATACATTTGTTGTCATATTACATTCACGAGAAAGAGTGAACTCCGTTGTGTCCTGTGATATATTAGTCTTTAGTAATAAATAAATTATTAAAGTTATAAGATTGAAAAAAACTGTTTATTTTATATGCTTGTATAAGATTCAGATGAATAAAAATGGCATGTTCATTTATCAAAGGATATTGTTGTATTGATCTCTTAAGATTTATACATTTTTTTTAATGTTAAAATGATTTTCTAATATAAATAAAAATTATTTGAACTTCAGGAATGTTCATGAAAACTTGAAAAATGAATAGCTATCAGTTTTTATTGTTTTCAATTCTTTACATTAGCTTTTTCGATGACGATCAATAGCGATCGTGTTTGAAAAAAGAAAAGCATAACACATTGACCTGTCCACGTAACAGTCCACCTATTTTGGCAGAGCTAGAAAAACGCAAAACTTATGCATTTATTATGTAATTTTTAGGCTGTCAGAAGGATGATATGAGACACTTTGTTAATTGCTCTTTCAGACGTGTTATCACTTTGTTCATTCCAGGAGAACTACAGTTAGCTTTCTGAGGCAATAAACGCCGATGAAAATATGCGCATTTTAAAAGGCTCTATTCCCTCACAAGATCTTTTTATTTTTCAAATTTTCTTGTTTTCTTTCTGTAGCGTGTCATCTAAGCTTTTACTTTCCTAGAAAGTTTTGGTTCGTAGTTTTGCGTTGAATTTTTCAGTTCTTTAGATAACACTTAAACTCAAGACCATTTTTGGTTATTCCGTCACGGGTCTATATTTCAATCTTAAAATTGTGAAGGAAGCTTCGATTGTAATGAAGCTTTGAGGATGTATAGAGCAACTCGACTTAAATATATTCTGAAGAAAGTTTCAGCTTTATATGACTTCGTTTCGCTGAGATTTTGAAAATCGAAAGTATAAATTCGTTATTCCGTCACGAATGGATAGGTCGATATCCTTTTGGTTTTTTAAGAAAAAATGATAACTAGACTGGAAGCATTACCTAATGAAATTTTTCTCCGTATTTTTTCTCATCTAGCATGGTTCGATATGTTAATATCTATACGTTCATTATGTATTCGTTTCAATTGTCTTATTTGTTCAATTTTTTTTCAATAAGTGACTATTTATTAAATCCAAATACTCTTTTTACAGAACAAGGTTTATCTTATAGATCTTGTTCAATTTTATTTCCGTTAATTTTCAACTTATCATCTCTTTTATTCTTCTATTAAACATATTCATTTTGATGGAACAGATTCAATGGCTTGCTCGATGTGGATTGATTGAATCAGTAGTTCAAAGTTTATTTAATCTTATTGAACATCAATTAGATGAACTTATATTAACATTCAATGAGTCAGTGGTCCATCGGATAAATTATGTAAAAGATCATATGCCAATGTTTCCTGACAGAGATAATCAATCGATCGTTTATTTAATAGATTATGTAAAACAAGATGAAATTCATCTTAATTGTGATCAATTACGTTCTACATAAATTTGTCGAGTCAGCATTTTCGCTCTCAAAAAGAGAAAAACATCGAGTTCGTCTCCTTTACTTTCATAACCAAATGATTCCTGAGTGAAAGTCAACTACGTGCTCAATGCTAATTAGAGTCATTTAGGAACGAATCAGCAGAGAACATATTTAATGAATGCCGTTTTGAAAAAAAGAATATTTTTAATATCTATTAATAGTATATATTCTATAATCCATACTATCTTGTATTACAATTTTCAATTGATTTTTAATGAAAAATGGCCTTTTCTATATGTTGTTATCTTCATGAAAGATATTTGCGTTTCAAGAACAGATAGGATGTGGGGTGGGTATGGGTGTGTGAGTGTCTATGAGTAGGGATCTCACACACTCCTACCAACACCCACACCTACACTCCCATATACTTTCTTTCGTTTCGCAACCAACCATTTGCATATATTTTGTGGAACTCACATATATTTTCGAAGAAAATAGTGATAGTGTGTAAGATCTGCTGTAGATATCATAGATTTGTAAAACACTTATTTGTCAATGAATTCAACGATTATAATAATAAGAATGATAAATTAAGAAAAACAAATTTAAAAAAATGAAAAATAATGAGCAAATAGCAACAATGAAAATGAAAAATTGGGCACCCGTAGAAAAAAAATTGTTCGAAATGCAGAAATTAGAGAATTTTTCTGTTTCAGTGATTAATTATCCTGCAAAACAATTATAGTTTACGAAAGATTTTTCATTTTACGTTTTTTGTATTTATTTAATGAGGCTAGAGAGCATATGTGAGTTCTACATCTCAGCCCCAAAGGGGTTGCGCTAACAAGCTATTTTTCTTTCGTTCTGTGAAACGAACACTCAAGCGAACACTGTCGTTATAGTTGCTCAGCACATTACCCTCCTTTCAGTAGAGGGAACAAGAGAGAGAATTATGTTTATTCATTCTCTCACGGCTTAACGTGACGGTATTGACTTACTCAACATGAGTGCAAGCAATTTTTTCTCCAATGTGTCATAAAGAAAATATAACAAACACACCACCGGTGAAGCTGAATTATATAATCGTTTGATGCAAACGATGGTTTCGCTAGCAGTTTACATTTGTAGTGTTCGACAAAAATACATGAGCTGCAATTTATTGACATGTAAGTTTGTATTTCATTTTGTTTTGCATTCAAAACAAAACACAATGTTTAGTTCTATCTATTTATTGATAATGGCATCGAACATTAACAATCAATCGAAATCTTTATTGAGCTCAACAGAAATCGAACTAATAAGTCGCGTTGACGCACGTTTCCAGAGTAATAACTCATTCAAATATCATTTCTTTTACACCGCATCATCACCATTCAGTAATTTTCATTTCTGCTCGATTACGGAAAATGAACTTACATTTCATTCGAATGAACAGTATATGATGTATCATAAAGCAAGTAAATATATGAAAATAAGAAAACAAGAATCATTTCTCTATATTTACTATATCTTAGAACTTTTTGATGATGTTGAAATAGCTCGACAAATTCTTCAGGCTACAACACCAGGTCATTGTAAAGCATTAGGACGCTTAGTAGAACATTATGATAAACAGATATGGCATGAGAATCGTATGAATATTGTTTCCAATGGAGTCTATCTCAAAGTAGGAAATAAGCTTGCATTATTGACTATTGCAAGAACGACATTTATTTAAATCATTCTAGTTTACACAAAATGAACGGCTCAAACAAGTTCTTTTGAAACACTACGACAGTTTTTTTGTAGAAGCGTCACCAAATGATTGTATTTGGGGTGTTGGTTTACGGGAAAGCAATCACTTGATTAGAAATCGTTCTAATTGGAGAGGACTCAACCTTCTAGGTTATATTCTATCTGATATCGCACATCGAATTCATGATGAAAATAAAACCCATTGAAATAGAATATTCCATAAAGACATCGATCATGTTCAAGTAATACTTTTAGAGTAGTACAAGCAACGTTATGGATCTATATGAATTAATGAATGCTTAATATTCAGGAAAGATATCTTTACTCTGTTTTTGTTGATCGTGCAATGCAGTATCGACTTGCAAGATCGATAAAATTGATTTTGAAGTGCGTACTCATTTTCACTATCTATTGGAATTGTTAAAGACAATGTATGATGTAGAAAATATCTTGTTTTATGACTGAGTATGAACTACACTCGGACCTCAAATCAATACTTTAAAAAACCATGGTGGAGTCCAATTAGAACGCGAATAAATTCACTCATTTCTGTTCTCAAACGATCGAATGTCACGGGTGTTGAAGTAGTATAACATTATTGTTAGAATGAAGTAAATAGATGATGGATTAATGCTGTTTGAAAAGGTCATGTTTCTTTTCTTCTTATTGAAAGATATAGAGCACATGTTCCTAGTTGTAGCAGGGTTTTTGTATGGTTATGTTCGACCTTTAATATCTCTGCCAAATAGTGAGCAAATGAGCTCAAATTTTATGACAAAATAGGCTCATGTCTTGTCTATCTTTTAATATAATTTTGCTTTTTAAAAGTTCAAAAATTATCGAGTTATGAATGGTAATATGAAGTCGATATATCACGCTCTAGTTAAGTGAGATGTTTCCAATAAGAGCGTCAATGCAGAAGTTGCACCAAATTAGATCACACCAGCATAAACACATAGAAGCATAGACAAAGTTAAAAAATCATGTCATATCTGCTTAGTAACTTCAAAATTGAGTCGAATATCCGCTAAAGAACTTATTCCTCACACTTTTTTTCTACCCTTCTACATAAATCCAGCTGAATATATTACTTCGTTGAACAGATATAATTAAAACAATCTCCACGAATCCCATAAATAAACACTCTACATAGGTACATGATCCTAAATTAGAGAACATATGGGAATTGTGTCTCAAATTAGAGCGTATCTATACAAAATGCATGCAAATCGACTTATCTAACGTAGCTTGATCTTCATTTGCTGCTCAATCTCAAAATGGATTGTTGGTTCTGGAGCAAAAGTTGTTCAGATCGATTTTCTCTATAATATATTGTCAGTTCAGTCAGATTTGAGAAAGTTCTCGAGAGTAATTAAGCGTACCATTGATTGAAAAAAAATTAATAACTTTTTGTGAACTGAATCAGATTGTTTTTACCTCGTATTGCGTTTTATTTTAATTTAGTTGCGCTGTGATACACTATTTTCACCTTGATATTCATTCAATAGGAATTATAACGTTTTGTCGTTTGGCAAATCACTTGTATCATGAGTTTTAGAGTGACATGATGTTAGACTTTTAGATGACCGAAGTGCTATATTAGTTTATTTAGTAAAAACCATTCCGTCAGGTTACATCAAATGTAATAGAAGTAATTTTTATTAATTGTTCTAAATAAATATCGATGCCTTGTTGTCTCATGCTTTATCAACGAATCGACATTGCTAGTCTATGAACTTCTTGCGTAACTGCTGAAATGTATGTGTCCATCATTGATGTTGAAGAATGTATTTCATATTTGTGACTCCCTTGAAATGATTTCCTACAGATATTTTTCAAATTCCACCAAGCAATGAGTGAGTCAGTACCAAGACATTCGATTCAGCGAAAATACTCTAAAAATATTGTAACGCTATTAAATTGTTCGATAATTTTCTCTCTTTTTCTAATTTCGTCGAAGATTATCATGGCAAGTTTGTCTGGAATTCATTCACAGAAAAAAATTGCGAAAAGCCTGCAGTAAACCGCGGTTTTCACAAGGTGCGGCTTTTCCAGTCGTACCAGAGCGACCAGATCTGACTGGGGATCAGAAAATCTGCCTGAACTTTTACCTAAATCCAGAAAGGTTGCCCTTCGAAGGGCAATGTAGTGAACTTTTCAAGTTTCATTACCGCAAAGTGACTTTTCAGTGTCAGATTGATTATTTGAATATTCGAAACTTTCGTAGAAATAGTGGACACGACATCCTTCTCGTTTTTACATATTTCCTCATACTTCTATATGCAGTGAAAAAAATGTATAACCTCGGTACAACGCGGTTTCTAAAAACTGAATAAGTGGTCTGAATTCCGAAACTTTCTCAACACGCGTATTTTGAAACCACGATATATAATACCGCCGTTATTAATGAATAAACCGTTATTTTTTTTAAATCCCGAATAATCGCGATATTAAATACCGCAGTCTAGCTCTAGAACACCACGGTTTACTTTGAACGAGGGGAGAAAAACCGCAGTCAACTGCGGTTTTACTAAAAGAATTTGTCCATGGGCAGTTGTCGGAAATACTAAGATAATGATAAAGGAGGGAATACTTTCTATGAAATCAGATCTTTTACATTCAATCGGAACCATTGTCAGACACGGGTCAAATTTTGATGACCCATTCTGAGCTCAAAGGCTTATGCTGTGATACAAGTGAAACACTGTCAGACATTAAGCACTTTTATCTTCCTCTTTTTCCTAAGAAATTATTTTTTCTATTCTTCTTTTGTTGTTGTAGTTTCATAGTTAGAGCCAAAGGATATATCTTTGACCTCTTTTCGTCTTTGCTATTTCGCTGATATTCCACAGTTGACATAACAAGACTATGTGATATATTTTTCTTTTGTTTGCGTTTCTTTTATTATGTGTACAACTCGAGACTTCTATATCATCATTGAAATGACAATGTACTCCCTATTCTTTCGTGTACGATTTCAATAAAGAAAAGTTGGTGAAGCAGAAGAAAAGAGGGTATGATATGCTACTACTTGTTCTAATAAGTGTTCTCCTGTTGTTCTATTAAAATTTTGAATAAAAAACACATTTAAAATATCTTTTGCATATGCAAAATATTCAGCAGACAGATCTGACCCAGGATCAAGGGGGAAAAAGAGATACTTCATCTACTCCCATACTTTTGGAAGTACAATGGGAGTACAGTGGGAGTACGGTGGGAGTACAATGGGAGTACGGTGGGAGTACAATGGGAGTACGATGGGAGTACAATGGGAGTACGATGGGAGT